GCAATGGCGGGCTGCCTCAGCATTGACTTACTACCTCCATAGATTTGGAGTGCCTCAGTAATGGTGGATGCCCCTCCCCCACAGAGCTGAACCGTCCCGGGTTCAGCTGCGTTTGCTATGAAACTCTCAGTCCAGAGAGTTTCTGATTGCTGTTCTTCTGTGGGGGTGGGACCAGCTGAGCCTGATCGCCTGGCTCCCTGCCTCAGAGCCTTTTTTTTTTTTAAGTTGGTGTTCCAGTTGCCTGTTGAAGAGGCACCGGGATCTGTGTGTTTTCCCATGTGGCGACTCACTGCACTGGCTTAAACAGCGGCACTGAGATTCGTGGCACTTTTTTTGCCCTGGAATCTACTGTCCTGGTTCCCTGTTCAGTCCCCTTTTTAAACAGATGAATGGGCAACTTCCCGTGGCTCCAGTCGCCAGCCAAAAGGGCACCCGGACCAGTGTATTTTGTACGGAAAACTGCTTCGCTGGGGCGCTGACAAAGCAGCCACATGGGGCAAAGCAGCGGCACCAGCCGACACAGCTGTGCTGGCCGAAACAGCCGCGCTGGCAACCCGTGGAGCTCCCCCGCCTGGGAATTTCCTAGTCTGTGGGCAATAAAAATGCAGCGTCCACTCACCCTCTGCGCTTTCACTGGGAGCTGCAATCCTGAGCTGTTCCTAAACGGCCATCTTGGACCGACTCCCTATTTTTAAACTTTTTGATCTATATTACCAAATTGTTGTTCAGAACTACTTTTCAGCCATACATTTGAACCACTTTATATTCCTACTGGCAAGCTGGGCACGGTGGCTCACACCTGTAATCCTAGTACTTTGGGAGGCCAAAAACCAGCCTGGCTAACATGGAGAAACCCCGTCTCTAATAAAAACTACAAAATTAGCTGGACGTGGTGGCAGATACTTGTAATCCCAGCTACTCAAGGCTGAGACGGGAGAATCACTTGAACGGTGAGCCAAGATCGAGCCATTGCACTCCAGCCTAGACAACAAGAGTGAAACTCTGTCTCCAAAAAAAAAAGAAGAAAAAAAAAAAGAGAGAATCCTTAATATATTTCTACTGGCAGTAGAATGCCAGTTTCACACCATTTCAGCACTAGGATGTTATTTGTTGTTATTCATTTTGATTGTTTTAATTCTTGCTAATTTGTTGGTGATAAATGGTACTGTGTTGTATGACTTAACATTTTTTAGATTTACTAGTTAAGATGAACTGTTTTAAAAGATTATGGGTCATTTGTGTTTATTTTCTCATGAAATTTTCTGTAATGTCTGACAACTTATGTTGTCTAAAACCAGATAAATGATATTCCCCTCTGTTTTCTTCTCATTCTGTTTGTTTTATTTTGATTATTTTAATCATCTGAAATTTATTTTGATATATGAAATGAAATAAGGATTAAACCTAATTTTCTTTCCAGATAGTTACCCAATTGTTTCAAGACCATTTCATTTAAAAAATCCGAACTTGGCCAGATGCGGTGGCTCACGCCTATAATCCCAGCACTTTGGGAGGCTGAGGTGGGAGGATCACCTAGGTTAGGAATTTGAGACCAGCCTGGCCAATGTGGTGAAACCCCGTCTCTACTAAAAATACAAAAAATTAACTGGGCATGGTGGCACATTCCTGTAATCTCAGCTACTTGAGAGGCTGAGGCAGGAGAATCACTTGAAGCCAGAAAGCAGAGGCTGCAGTGAGCCAAGATTGCACCACTGCACTCCAGCCTGGGCAACAGGAGTAAAACTCTGTCTCAATTAAAAACAAACAAACAAACTTGCTCTACTGATTTGAGAGCTTCTTTCTGTCTTTGTTTCTCTCTCTCTCCCTCTCTCTCTCTCTTTCTCTCTCTCTCCCTTTCTCTCTCTGTCACCCAGGTTGGAATGCGTGGTGCAAACACAGCTCACTGTAGCCTCGATTTTCTGGGCTCAAGTGATCCTCCTGCCTCAGCTCCCCAAGTAGCTGGGACTGCAGGCACATGGCACCACATCCAGCTAATTTTTGTATTTTTTGTAGAGATGCAGTTTCACCATGTTGCCCAGGCTGGTCTCAAACTCCTGAGCTCATGCAGTTCACCCTCCTTGGCCTCCCAAGGTGCTGTGATTATAGGCATGAGCCACTGTGCCCAGCCAGAACACCACTTTTACTATGCACTAAATATCCATGTATACTTGAGTTTTTCTATCGGCTTTTGATGGTTTTACATTAATCTGACTTGTTCCAATTCTGCACTCATTTCTTTATAATAATAATAAAGAACTTAAATGCATTTTTGTATGTATCAGAGGAAGTCATCTCATTAGTCCTTTCTTTCCAAAATTTTTTTTTTTTTTTTTTTTTTCTAGAATCTAGATCAGCATTTACTTAGGTTTTCGCAAAGTAATTCCCCTTTTTGATTTGGGGAGAAGTTACATCAGTATGTTCCTTCATTTATTCCTTCATTATCATTCCTTTTTTGTAGTCTTTCAAAAAAGTGTTTTCATTTTATTACTACATTTTGTTGTTGTTGTAGAGAGAATTTCCCTCATATTTTCTAGCTTATTTTTGCTACATAACTAATTATATATAAAAGCTATTGATTTTTGTGTTAATTATTTAGCCATCCACATGACAAAACTTTTATTAGTTTTGGTAGTTTTCAATGGGTTTTCTTGTATTTTCTCTATCAAAAAAGTTGTAAATAATAATAACAGTTACAGATTATGTGAGACCCCTGTTTGAAAACCTTTTGATATCTTATTTTACTCAGAATATAATAGAAAGTTCTTCCTACTACAGGGCCTGATATGGTGGCTTAAATGATGGCTGTAACCATATTTCTTCTAGTTTACCGCCTCGCTCAGAACCCACTTTAAATTCTTTGTACTTGCTCATCCCCCTGCTTGGAAGACATGACAGCTGACTTCTTACGGGTATTCATTTGGTCTCATCTCAAATGTGTCATGATCAGCGATGCCTTCTTCAAATGGTTTGAGCCTCTCTGGCTGGCCAAAACATTTTATACTGCTACCATTAAGGCATTATCCTTTTTCATTGTGTTGACATTTGTACTGAAAAGGCAAAAACAATGGTGGGTAAAACTCCTAGTACTTTAGCACATGAATCAAGACAGTGGCCCCAAATTATTCTTCTAGTCATTCTTCATTGCC